CTTAATTTTCTGGGGTGCTAGGAGGAAAACAAATTTTATTTTTAAAATAAAACATTTTTTTCTGGCATATATAATTTTTCATGAAGTAAAAACCCCCCACCTTAGTGTTTTAGCTCTGAATTGCACGAAGCAAAGAAAGGGAGTGATAGATAGCTGACATTCACCATGGGAATTGTGCTAATCTTATTTATAGCCACTCCACAGGGGGGGAAAAAAAATAAAATATGTGGAGGCAGGGAAGGCAGGGTAATGGGCAGAAAAAATAAGTGAAGAAAAGAAAGATGCCATTCTGTACACCAAGAGAAAGAAAGGTGTTTCTGGTTCATATTTCCCACATGCACATCTCAAAGTAGGACCAACTAAAAATTAGCCTGAAAATCCTTTAAACGCATGATCTATGTGATCTCCATGTTGTTCTGAATGAAGATCCCAGTCAGGCAAGATGTAGACCTGTGGCCTCAAGCTCCCCGTCCACACTACATGAAGGTGGTCACTGCAGTACTCGACTAAATCCTTCATCTTCTCAATGCTGCTAATGCATTCATCACTTGGGCAATGTTTGTGTATTTCTGTTAGGACAACCTTCAGCTGAAGATAGGTAGCAGCTAAATCTAACCCAAATCATTTCTCCTCCATTCTGCAGTTACTGTTTAAGTGGAGATAATCCAGCACCACCACTTGGCAACTGGAACACGGTCTTCCAACTTTATCTCTCTTTCATATGTCTTTGTCCCGCCATTCATCCATCACTCATAACATGTCAAATAACACAACTAATCTCTGCGCTTCCTAGAACAGTTTATCTCAAAGACACTCAACACAGTTTCTTAGGTATAAGGATCTCAGCGCACCACCTAAAGTACATTGTTCCACTTAACCAATTAAGGACACCAGTAAACACCAAAATACTGTTCTCCCAGGCATTTCATAAAAATAAAAAGAACCTTCCACTGTAATGAAGATCACTGAACTTCATATTCTCTATAGCGTTGCCATTTTGAAGACACTTTTGCACCACTGCAATTAACTGCTACTGTTCAATTATTTGACCTTTATTAATCTAGTAAAAAAGCACTTCATATTGATATGAAAGCAACCAGGTATTTGAAAGAGCACATCTTTTTGTGGTGTCAATATTTTGTTGCAAAATAGAAAAGCTATATGGGTCAAGTCTGTGCTAACTGTGTTATCTCCAAATGAAATAAGTGCTCCCTATGGGGGTATGGGAAGAGGAAGGAGACTGGGGATTTTCAGAGCAAGAGCCAGGCAAAATTTCTTGTGCCCTGTATTTCTCTTCTAACATTGGGTCAAAGCACCAAAGACAATAAACAGGCGTTACACACTTCTGAGCCCTGTAATCTGCTTTAATGGTTAAAAGTTCATGCCCATAATAGCAGCTGAAATGAAAACATTCAAGCTGACCTTTCTGAAAATGTCTTTAGTTAGTAACAAATCAGATGATTAGTCCTGCCAGAGCCTTCAGCATTCCCAGAATGAGAAATATTTCAGCCCAAATTGATAGTTTTCTATTAATTTATTTTGTACAGTTTTTTAAATCACTTTGCAATGGTACGTTTCACAAGCTGCAACTTCAAAAAGTGAAGTTCACCTTGTTTATAATGAAGAAGAAAATGTGAAGATCAAACTAATTTAATGACTGTCCAATGCTTAGGAAAAGTAAATACTCCTTGTCCCAGAGGAGAATAACACGATGCAAAGCCTAGATTTCTCAGCAGAGCTGTTTCCTATAACACTAACAGAGACTGTAAGTCTCACTATGCAAACTGGAAAATCTGCAGCTTCCCTCAGAAAAGCAACTCTGTCCACATACATCAAAAAAACATTGAGATTCCAGATGCGAGTGAGAATCATCTAAGCCAGATAAGCATTACATGAGGCATCAGGTAACACATACAAACATATACGTCATAAATCTATCAAATTCAACCAACTAATGTAAAAGGCATTAAAAAAAAGTTACTATCTCTGAACTGATTAGGCTATCTCCTTACCTGACGTAAATCTGGAATGCTGTTCACACCAGCTGAAAATATTGCTTTTCCTGTATTTTTAGAAGGAAGAAAAACCTCCCATTTGCCTTTAGGTTTTAATAGGTCTGTAGCACAAATATAACCAAAGGATATATGAGCTTGGTCCTTTTTCTTCGCAGAGACTAGCAAAAAGTGTCTTGTAAGCCATATATGCCAATTACCTGGATGACTACAAGCAATTACACATGCTGCAGGAAGCATCTCAGAATCAGGCCAGAAAAACACCGGTTACAAAAAGGAAAGATCTCAGTGTTCAGCTTCAATACCAAAATCTGCTATTCCATCCCACCTACACATACAAACCAGTGCACATCTGTAGGAGCATCTGCTTTGTCCTTCTCTTTGTTTTTTTAGTTACTTTTAGACCAAACATGCACAACACAGGAACTTTAGTGGTGTGATATAGTAGAGGTACATTTGCAGTATGAGAGAAAACTGCAACGGCACTGTGAAATAATGCACTAACCTGAGTACTCAGACTTACTGGTGAATTTCTTGACTTGTGTATTATAAATAAGTGGGCTTGGGTTATAGTTCATTTCTATGCAGAGTCATGGATTATCAACAGACCAGATACTGACATCTCAAACTCTTTACACAGATTATACAGGTGGCCGGTATCTACAGTTGGAATTAAAAAAAATAGCACATGAAAGGCAAAAATACTCCAGGAGATTATCACCAGTGTGAATAAAAGTTTTATTATTTAAATAGATGAGCTGGTATGCTAAAGTATAACACATCTCTTTGGACATTATTCCAAACATCAACCAGATCTCCAAATAAATTTATGAGAAGAAACATACTCTGGTGGCAGATTTCTAATCCCACTGGAGAAAGCCCAGATCATCTCCATTTAAGGTCAAGCAAGCAACAGCTGCACATTTTTGTTCCCCGTAACAAAATAAAGCAGACCAGAACTTCCAACACAGATTCCTGTTTTAAAGCTTTTTCCTTCTGATATCCATGGGTGTCTGGATTTGTTCACGCAGAGGTGAATCAAACAATACAATGATGTGCTCATATATCCTGTCTGTACCTGTCAGACAGACATGTCTCATAAGCAGCACTTGGGCATCTGCCTCAGAATCCCACCAAAATCCCCTGAGTTACACGAGGGAGTGAAACTAAACTGGACTAGAAAAATTCATATCCAAGTCAGACATTTACAGACGGCATGTATCACACCTCTGATGAGATACTACTATTTTTATTAATGCCTTACCTTTCACATTTAAGTACCATTCTTTAAAAAGACTACAATTTGACTGCATCAGCAGCTCACAAACAAAACCAGTGTTCTTCTAAGGTAACTCATTTCTGAAAAGCTCAAAAATTATGATTATGTCTAATTCACTAACAAAAAAATATGAGAATTTAGGATAGAGTAACTAAATGGCATTACCATTTTACAGTAACTTGGTAAAAGGAAGGAACTGGCATTGCAGCTAGTGCAGTGCTTGGGTGTTGGACTTTAATAACAAAGTACAGAGGTGAATTTCAATAGTACAAGTTTCACATTACATCTTACAAAAGCAAACAATGAAAGCATAGTAGTACTTCTGCTGGATGACAGCATGCAATAAAAACATGAAACTTCCCTCATAAAAAGGCTAAATATAGTTTGCTCGACTATGAGAAATTTATAATGTTAATAATGACATTATACATAAATGATGAAACCCTTTGCACTAGTGAAGAAGAATCACTCCTTACTGTGGAGATATTCAATTAACTTTCAAATGAAATAGGTGACCCTAAATTTCCTGGGTTTGAAATTAAAGGATAACAGAAAGCAGGAAGATTTATTATATTAAAACTGAGTTGCTAACTTCAACTATGTCATGACCAATTTTTCAGAAAAGCTAAACCTTATTTACAAAAATAAAAATAGAGCTCAATTTGAAACAAGGTGGTACATCACCTCCAAGGTCTTTCTGTTTCTGGTGTGCAGCATGTACCACAGCAGGGCTTATAGGGAATGAAAAAAACTCACTAAAAAACCCCACTGTGTCTGGTTTCCTGCTCCAAGGCGAGCCCTAATCTATGCTAAACAACTGTTGTCAAAAGTAGATCTGTAAGTGTTCAGTTAGTCTGAGCTTCTGTATTTTTGCCTGCAATTTCCAAATCAGGAAAAAGGCACACACTGTCGGTTGCATCCACACGTGATGCCTGATGCTGGATGCTCGCACACTCAACAGTTCCATCCTTTCACATCCAGTGAATCCTCCAGTTCCTGGATGCATGACATCTACTCCGTATATGCACTGTGGTCTCATCTGTCATTTAGCAGTGCAGGATAATGTACATAATATAACAAAGTAACATCCAGCTGCTACTCTTATCCAAACTGAACTGGTTCTCAAAATTCATGTGGATAGCTTCCAGCCACAAAAAAGAGGGAGAAAAAAAGGGTGGGTGGGTGTTTTAAAGGAAAGGCAAATTACTTCGAATTAGAAATGATAAATTTTTGATATAAACTCATATATGGTGATTTGGAGCGAAAAAAAAATCCTCTAACCCACAAATTAACATAAAGATTGGAAGAGACTCAAAAACCAGAAAAATTACTTCAGTTCAAGCATTGTGAGAAGATAGATGACATTGGAAAACACACATCATACACTGTAAACTGAATACCTGCTGTGTAAGACACTTATCAAAACTATATACACTGAAAGTGTAGTTTAAGAAACCCCTTGTACTAAAGAAAAATCATTCCAAGTCAACAACCTGTATGAAATGTAATCACCCACACTAGAGATTTAGGTCTTTCATGATGAAGAAACACTGTTGTAGCAAAAGTAACACATCCCACAAGCAGATCCCTGAACAAATTCCCATTTAAGTTATTGTTTAAGAAAAGGCAGGGTCTAAGCAAGCAACTCCCTTTGCTACCCCACAGAAGCATGCCGCTTCCCAGATTCCTCCGTCCTGTGGCTGCACAGGTGGTCTCCCTGGCACACAGTTCCCTTCACGAGAGGAAAGATGTTGCCCATGTTTAATGTATTACTGCTGTGAACAAGTTTAGAGGAGCAACTGCCTGTGTCAGAAGGCAGAAATGGGACCAATCACAACTTGTGAGCTGCTGAATGACGCCGGCAGTCCTGCCTCTGAAACTTTTGAGGGGAAAAAATAACAACCTCCTTCAATTGTTCCCACAACTTGGTCACAGTCTCGGACAAGTTGCCAGAGATCTACAAACACTTCCCACAGCCCGGAGCAGGCTCCTCTGTGCTTCACTAACAGTCACACCAGAGGTAAGGAACATCTTTTGTGCTTTTAATTCTTACAGCAATGCACTGTAGCTGTAGTTTTCTAGAAAAACTCCCCCACTCAAATCAACAGATGGTTATAATTGTTTATCAAAGATATGGAAATGTAGGCATTACAGCTCTGAGTCAAAAATATAACACTGTGAGAGACATATTTTAGCTACAATAAAGGCAACTGAGAAATTTTTTTTTTTTACATGCTCATGGGACACTAGCTGTCCTTGAGTAGGCAATTTATACGGGTATTACACCAGAAGGTGAGAAGCTTTCCTCAGACCTTTGTCCCTCCTTTTAAATCTAGTATGTTTTGGTTTTGGTTTTTAAATACAAACTCCACAAAGAGAGTCATTCACTCCATATTTTGTAGAGACACTTTTGTTTCCCCAAAGCTGTCTATCCACAGCCCAGCAAAGGTAAAGCTCTTTCACCATTTAATTCAAGTATTTTTCTGATCTAACACACAGAGTAAAACTTATTTTGCTGTATGATGAAAAAGTACCCTTAATTTAAAAATTTCAGCCATTAATTGCACTACTAGAACTGAAATTGTATCTTGTTACCCAAACCACAGTTCAAGCTACAGAATTCATACACCATTTTTGCTGTAAATTCCTTTAAAGGCTTATTTTCTCCTGCTGGTTATTGTCACTGCCAAACTTGTCCTAGAATGCTTCTAATAACAGATGAATAATTTAGCTGGGATTTGTAACATCATGAACTGAACTTCAAATGCAGAAAGTAATCCATTTATTTCCAACTAAGGGAAGCACATACACACTGTACAACAAAATACAACCCTAGCTTTAAAACCATTGCAAACTGACCACATCTCAAAGAGAAATATGTCACATAAAGGACATTTTAATATTGAGCTATACAAATATTTTTAAAAGGAATATGATTCATGAATATGTAAGTCTCTAAGGAATTTCTCCTCCTTACAATCATGTTGCCCCCTTCTATCAGTTCATACCTTACTACTTATGTCCACTTCAGGTTCTGGTTTTAGAAAAGACAGACTTAATATAGACCTTAATTTTGAGGTGTATTTTCCCTGTTACCAAACAAGACACACTTAACTCTTTTTCCTATTACTGACTGGTAGGCATAAGGCAAAAATACACGCAGGTGCTTGGTTTTGTGCTCAACAGTCTAGTACCAGTTTTGAACAGACAAGTACTGGAGGTATCTGGACATCCTGTTACTCCTAAGGCAAACAATCTGTTATGAAGTTCTCTAGAAGCTGCTTCCAATAGGCAGAAGCAGCACTTCAGACCATCCAATGCCTTCAAATCAATGCATATGGCGAGCAAGAAGATTGAGAGACAGACAGATCTTTTTCCAAGGCTAAACTTACATAAAATATATTTTCAAGTGAAGAGAGGAGTTTGGGTTTATTCTACCACGCAGAGAATCTAACACAAGCACTGCATACACGTGCCTTGAAAAATACAGAGTTTATGCATACATGGCACAGATTGAACATACACATAGAACCTTAACTGCTGTAGGCAGCTCTCTACTGGAATGTATCCACAGCTACAGCAGGTTAAATGCCATTCACCTGAGTTCTATCCTGTCACTGTTAGGTAATTTAAAGTAGATGACACTGTCGCTCAGCTGTGAAGCTAAATCTAGAAGTTTCACAACAGTAACATCCCATGTCACAGACATCCAAACCCTGAATAACAGCAGCCAACAGTCATGACAGAAGCATGTGCTATGTAGCAGATGATAAATGTTACAAATCAGATGTGAAATACTGCATTTAATTTACATCAAGTAACAATTTTCTGCTTTTTTTTTGCCACTCATTTGTCAAGACAACTATGTTATTTGTATTTAGAGATATTCAGATTTATGTATATGACATTTCAATTTTTAAAGTTGCATTTATTTCTTATCCTCTGAAGAGGTTAGGAATACAGCATCTTCATTATACAATATGAAACTCATTAAAATCAGTTTGTAATTGGATAGCATAAAGGTGATTTTCACATCTTTTCAGACCATCAGCAAACAAAAATGTATGGGATACACCTACACAGTTAGAAGAGCACATTTTTATTTACTTTAAGAATACTATGATTTAGGAATAGAAAAGCACTCCAACTGGAGAAACAAAAAATCCCACAAGAAAGTAATGTTACGTTTCCTAAACTTCAATACACTTTAGAACTGGAAGATTGCTTTTGTTTTCTAAATATTGATACATGGTTTCAGAGGACTTTCCTGGCATCAAGTTACTTCTCAGAAGTTGAATTTACCTACTATATTTCTTCTTTCAATTAATGCCATGTTGTTGTCCCCTGACCTACTAAAAACATTAAAACCACAACTTGCAACATCCCCTTCCACTTCTACCTTTTATACATGTATTTCAATTTTTACTTCAGTTCAAATTGCACTTAACACCATTTCTTATTAATAACTTGTGACATATGAACCACCAGAAGCTAAAACCCAATTGAAACAACAAGGTGTTAGGTACTCAGTGCATATAGTGGAGAGAAAAAACAAAGAATCTGAAGTGTGAGCCTTTCCCAATCCTCTCCAAAACACATGAAAAATATTGACATTTCAGTGCAAAATAGACTTTACAACAAAAAGTAAAAAGATAACAGGAGTTCACTTTTCCTGTTACCAGCACTTCCTAAACTTTATGAGCTGAATTGTTGCTTCTGTCCCCATTCCAAGGAAACGTCTTCTGCACGATTGAAAAAAATGGCGTTATATGCCACAAGTCAGTGCCTAGCTCTCTTCAGTGACTTAACATACTCCAGGTGCAGTTTTCTCTTTCCCCTTATGCAATTCTTTGCTTTTTCACCACACTCCCACACTCTTCCTCTGCTTTTTTCTGCTTTCCTCCCTCAATCTGTCCTCTCCTACACTATTGTCTGCATTCTTGACTTCATCCATCCCAGTCTTTGCTTTTGAACCCCAGCCCTTTCTTTCCCCTTTCATGCTTTCTTTTTAAAAGAAAAATAAAAGTAAAAAAAAAAAAATAAAATAAAAAAAAAAAAATCAACTTTGCTTTTTCTGCAGCCAAGCTGTTAAAGTGGCTAACATCCTTAACACCATTCTTCACTGACAACTGCCCAGTGCAAATCTCAGCCTATAATCAGAATTAGCACAGAATTCTGCACCCCTAGTGTAGGTAAATAAAAAATCCAGCTGTTAGGGTAAATCCACCTCCATGCTATTTATTTTTTTGTAAAAAGAACAAAAATTAAAAATTATGGCACAGCTTTATAAATCACTTCTGTATGTGAAAACCTGCAAGCAACTTCTCTTTTATGGTTGGAAAGTTCTATTTACTGAACAAAATTGATAGTAGTGAGACCATCTAGATGTCTCCAGAATTAATTCAGATGCTTCCTTCTCCACTCCCTTCTCACCCCCCCATCTTTCTCACACAGAAAAGATTTTTCAGACTTGAAGGTCTCAACTGCAGTGATGCCACACTGCCAGTGAGGAGGTATTTTACAGCAGGGATCAAAACAGAGCAATGAAACTAACTTGATATAAGATATATACATTAACAGAGGACAGTCAGCAAAGATGAAAAGCATGCCTAGACATCAGCTGCAGCTGCTGTGAGCAGAGAGAGCTTTAAACTCTGCAATGTCTTTTCTGGGGGCCACACAATCCACAGACAATGGTGAGAAAGGGCTCCCAGTTCAGCTCAACTCACAGCATTTAATCCTGCATGCAGAATTCTCCTTTGCTTTGGCACTATACACACAAATCTTTAAACTTAACCTCCTCTGAGCATGTAGAGGATACCTCTTCCTGCCTAGGAGTAACATACTGCTCACACAACAGCTACAGGAATTTCTTAGGCCAGGTAATTTTTGGTAATAGTAACAGGTAACAGACAAACTAGACCAAGGATCACTGAACCTGATCACAAACACTTTTTGCATTACTATGTTTATGGTTATTAAGACATTTATTTTCAGTGGATGAAACTGAGTTACTGGATTTTGGGGACATCTTGTTGTAAAAATCTATGCAATAGACATTATGTAGTATTACTTTTTAACAATAACCTTTCAGGGCTTCACTTGGTCGAATGGGACAGCAACAAATCAAATATGTCAAACCTCTTCTATTCCACTGATATCACTGCTGCATTTAGTAAACATATGACAGGAAACAGGCTGTGTCTAAAATTGCTGTGGCATTTCCAAAGGAGCCAAATTTATCCCGTGTGACTTCAATGAAGTCAATGCAGTTGTACCAGGAATGAGCATGGCCCACAGTTTTCACTTTGGTCACATACCTCCTCTCATTGTGAAGGACACCCAGGAACGAAGATAAAAATAACCTAATACAAATCAGTGAAACAGTCACATGTCAGAGAAGAAGGAAGCAATAATCGTGATCAGTGACTCATTCTAGGGCACCAAGCTAGGGGATCCCCTACATAGCAACATACAGGGTCAGTCACACGACCTCTTCCTGCAGATTGCCCCTGTGCATAGACAAGCCCTTCATATCCATTAACAACACTGGATTAAACACACAACTGCATAGCAATGCAGCCAACAGTCTCTTCTGTGCAATACTTGATCTTGTCACATGAGTAACACTTTTTGACTTTTTTTTTAAAGTCAAATAGAGTTTACCTTTTTGCTGCACTTTCCTTCCAAGAAGGGGTGTGTGCATGCATAATACTTATAATATTGACGTAAAACACAGTCAGGGGACTATGCAGTAGAGAACAGCTACTATCCATGGCAATGATCAGCCTTCATTTCAGTGTAATTATTTTTCACACTGTCCATTTTGACCTTGATAGCCACCCATATGCAGCTGTGTTACTGAGCCTGTTTCTCTTTATGCACACTTTAGGTGGGTGACAGCGTCATGGAGGATTAACAAGCAAGGTATGTGTTTACTTGTTGAAGTCATGCGCTTATAGAGACAAACTTGCTGAAAACAGACACAGAATTTGCTTCCTTTGCTTACAAGAAAACTTCTCCCACAGACAGGGTTAGTAGATAAAACACATAGGTGTTTCAAAAGCTTCTAAAACCATATGAGCTTTTAAAACTAGAAAACCAAGTTACTCTGTTTTGAACTTTCCTCATGCCTTCTCTAACACTATTTTCTAGCTGTAAAAGGTATAAATTTTAAATTACATGTCCAGACAGGTGATACAAAGCGATCTTAAAAAAAAAAGTAATGTCCAAATAGCTAATGCAGACTCAGCCTTCTGAGCTCCTTCAGCAACATTCCCTCACCCATTCCAAAGGGAAGAACACTTTTTTTTCCCCTCCTAAAGAGAGATCACTGTCTCTCCTCACCTGTGTTGGCCTTGCATTTGTGCCAAATCAGCTAACATTTTTTTATGGAAACACTTAAAGGCCGCAGGCCCTTGCTCCTTGAGTTATGCAAGTAAAACACACGCAGCAGCACAGCAGTGCAGCTGCTTGCATGCTAAATCTAATGCGGCACACAGAAATGGACTTATTGTGCATATATGCAGGTAAAACCTCCTGCTGTTCCAATCCTTCTGAGAGCCCCAAGAAAAAGAGCGGTGAGGAAGAAGACAGATGTGTTGCTGTAGCAGGTCACACACACGCCACAGGTTGCACACACTCTGCATAAAAAAGTGACTTAAGCTGTGATGAAGTCATCTGCAGGAAATGCTGTTCACTGTGCAGTGTCTGTCGCACAAGCTGGTTACACAAACTTTTCTGTACTAGCGTAAATCCATTAGTGGTTCACCTACCATGGCTTGTCTAGAAGAAGATAAACAGCCTAAAGCAACCCAGCCTGTACTGGGCCGAGAGAGTGAACGTGCCTTCAGCCAAGTCACTTGAGAATTCCTGTGCACGTCTTGCTTTTACTGCAGTTGGGGCAGACTGTGACCAGTGAAGAACTAAGCAGAATATACTTGGCAAGCACTTTAACTGCTTAAATAGATGAAAACAGGTACAGCATAAAGTCAAACAAAGCTGAAAAATTATAGTTGCTAAGAAAGTTAAGTTCCTGGTGTGTGTTTTGTTCATAATAGAGTTAAGATCAACTACAGCTCAAAACATCATAACAAATTCTGAAGTTCAAATTTAGGAGGAGATGTCATCACATGAAATCCTCTAAAGGTGTATTAAAAATAGCCATGTGTAATCTGGTTTCTTTCAAAAGTCTCTGTTTAAATACCAACACTGCCACTGGCACTGGAAGCACACATGTTCTGCTCATACAGTACCATCTAACTCTATAGCCCAACATGAAGGGACTAAAAAAAGAAGAGTCTGAAAAGACACTTCTGCTTCATTTTAAGGTTTTCCATTTTAGCCACATCTGAAGACAAATTTGTGGACAACAAAGCAACTGCCCGGACCATCATGCAATTTGGGCAGCAAATATCTAAGCAATGGTTTTCCTTTATGTGGCATGTACGAGTAGATAGGATTTTCATTTATTGCCCATCTACCACAAAAAAAGGTACAACAAGGAGAGGCCTTCTGTGAAGGATATGATCATGAGATAAATTCATTTAATGAATCTAAAAGCATTTAGAAGCAAGCGCAGCTTTAGGAGCAAAGTTTGAGAGATGCATATATCATTCATCATCTTGAAAACCAAGTTTTCACATTGTGATAGCACCTACAGAACCTACCTCACTCTGAGCTATGCAAGTGTGTATCAAAGCCAGGCTCTTGCCACAGAAGGTTCATTACAAGAGGGTTTTACACTGCAACTACTTACTGGGAGTTTGAAGACAACTGACACACTAATGCTTCCATCTACCATTAAAAAAGGGGGAAAATATACTTGAAATAAAATACTCACTTAAGAGACAAAGTTATACACATGCTTTATTTCAAGTCTCAGCAGTCCTCTGGCTTTGCACCTGCATTTTGTAAGTGTCCTACATGTATTTTAAAAAAGTTTTAATCCTTACTCTGTTTTGTCTGTTGAGAAATATACTAGTAAAATTCCATATAGCAGTGATATATTAGCTTTTAATTATGCACCATAAAGAATTTTTACTTGGAATGGAAATGCGTCAACAAGATTTCTTTTCCTCCCTTCCAGAATAAGGTACTGGTAAGCCTGATTACCTGCCCGTGTCAGTAACAGGCAGCAGTTAATATCCAGATCTCCTGGCTGCAAGGTCTGTGACTCTAGTCATATCATCAGGCATTCAAATGTGCTTGAACAAATAAAGCATGGTGGGGTGGGAGGGAAATCAGCCATGGCCTTGCCACTGATTGTAAAGGGTAGAGAGATTAGGATCTAAAGCAATGATCTGGATGAAACCCACATATCCACAATTTCAATTTTAGAATTCCTCAGCACTGCTAAGCAGCAAGTACTCAGTAGCCTTCAGGAAGAGAAGCACAATACAGCACAAACCTAAACTTGAAAACCAATTTTTTAAAAATCATGTTTTTAAAGTACAAACTGTAAAGGGAAATCTATTTACTTCAGGCTTTTTAGAACTTTAAAACAATCCCCATTTGCACTCATAAAAACACTTTACTTCTGCATTTCTAACTCTTCACTTTCCTGCTTTCCCAGCTCCACAAAGGCTGTCTAAAACAAAAAGAAGATAATAGGCACTTTGCACTGTTCCTGACAACTTCTCTTCTTTCCTACACTCCTAAAACCTCTGATTTGTGCCCTCTGCTTTCTTGTTGCCATGGAGAAGGTCCAATACATAACCCGCTCTGCTCTGAGGAGAGCCTCAACTATTGAGGTCAACCCACAAGCTCGCCAAAGGCTCCAAGAGCTTTTTGTGAATTTCTGCCTGATTTTAATTTGCCTCTTGCTGATCTGTATCATTGTGATGCTCCTCTGAAGTTCCAGCACTTCTCTGCACTGTCCTCTAGGAAAGTCACCCCAGAGGGAAGAGAGACCTACACCTGCAACTCCCAATGCAAGGATCCTCTTGTGAGAGGGGCTAGCACTTGGACTAGAGCTGTATGCCAACCATCGCACTATTCTCTTACTACCTACTACCTACTACATGTATTAAAAACACACCTCTGTGCAGAACAGTGTTTAGAGCCTGTTGTTACAAAGCTGTACATGACCTAGTTTGTCTGTCTCAAGAGATGTCTTTTCTGAAGGGGGTAAAGTACTGGCTCTTCATGGAGTTGGTAAGTTCCTCAATGTTTTAGCTAGATAACAGAAAGAGTAAATTCACTTTTGGGGGGGCTGATTGTTCTTAGGTTTCTCTGAAAATCCTTAAGCCCTTGTAGGGGTTTCAAATCTGGCCTTCATCTGCCCAGGACAAGCTAGTTACAGGCACATGGCCCTCAATGCATTCTAGGAAAATTTCTGCCCTGCTTACCTCAAGGTGATGCATCTTTGCTTTATTAAAGGTATTCAAATTGGTTTAGTTTCTTTTAAGGGAATGTGAGAATAAACCAAAAATCTCTCCTAACCCAGAAATAAAAACTATTTCATATGCTTTTCTCCCTATTTAAGGGATCTTTATTACATAAACATACATGTGTATGTGCATATATATACACACACACACACACAACTTGGATCAAAAAAAAAAAATTAAAACCCAACTTCATTTACAGTGTTTTTCACCAGAAACATCCTTACAGAACAAAGTGACATCTGGAAAGTTTTTTTACTATGTTTTGCAGGAAAAAAAAAAAAAATAATAAAAAAAAATCACACTACCATACTGGTATCAAAGATTTAATTTTCTATAGTCATTTAACTGACATGACAATAGGCACAATTCAGAAATAATTCTCAGAGTTCTTAATATTTGGCTTCAGACAACTTTATTATGGCCTACTGTAATTTATGTAATAAATTCTGTAGTTGCAAACTATAGAAAACTTGGTACTTGCCAATGTCACAGAGGGTGGCTTATATCTGATGTGGTAAAGAGAAAGGTGTAGATCACCCTTACTGCCATGAATGAAGTGCATCATACAAATACAAGTAACACCACCACCTTCAACTGCAAATGCCTGTTAGAGAACAAGCAAGTATTTTCCTACTATAAATGACAGATTCAAAAATAAGTTTAAAAAATTACACACAAGAAGGAAAGCATTGCAGGAATTATTTTTAGCCAGTAAACCACATCTATGCATGTAACAGTTTCTACTCCAGCAGTTGTCAGTAACAAGATGGAGCAGTAGCCTTCCTACGTGTTGCTGGTATTAAGCTAAATTCCTAGAAACTTTATACAGTTTTCCAATTTAATGAAAGGTCAAGAATCAACAGATAGAGGTCAAACAGACATCCTTTTTTAAACAGGCATCTTTCTATACCACTCTATGTAAGCAATCCTGTTGATGAATACAGAAAGTCAAAACGAGTTTATCTTAATCTTGTATTCTGCCTTTAAAACTTAGTATTCCATGAGTAGAGGTTGACAATGAACAGCTGAACAGGAAGGGAAGACACCTTTGAAAAAAACCTCTGCATTCAATGGAATGCAAGCAAGTCCAGCGGTGATGTATTTCTTATCTGGCAGACAGATATGCTGAGACCAGACCTCTGAAATAAGGTTAATCACTAATTAGTTAGCTACTGTATGAGGATTAGGGCAAACACTGATGAGATTGGCAACACACTCCCCCACTTGCAAGTCAGTATATTAATATTACTGATTTGAACTGTCAACATAAATCTCAATTTCCATTTCATGCATTCTGACCACTCTCACAAATGCATGGGATTTTAGTAAGCACACTTTCCCTATTAATCCTTCTTCTTAAGAAAAGCCAAAACCACAGTGCATCTTGGG